CACACACGCACACACACACACACACACGCACACACAGCGACTGTACTTACGTCTGCTTCCGGGCAGGCTCTGCCGTCCCGAGTCGTCCGACGCCGCCGACGCGCTCCCGGACCAACTTATCGCGTCTGGAACACGACAAAGGCCCTCATGAAGCTCACACGCTCAGACAGTAGGCGTCGTCCGTCCATTCACGCCGGCGTCTACCTTGCCCCCTCCCTCCCCCAACCCGCGAGACCCACGTGCGAGGCGTGCATGTGGGCCACCCCCTCCCCCTCCCCTTCTCACGACCGCGACTCCCCGGCAGACGGTGGGCGGGCGCGGGGCGCGCCGAGACACGGCAGCGCACGGGAGAGCGCGGGGCGGCGCGGCGTGGCGGCGCGCGCGTGCGTTTAAAAATAGCGCGCGCGTCCAAAAGTCACGTGGTCACCATAGCAACGGCGTTGGCAACGCGGCGTGGCGGGGCCGTATGTAAACAAAAGTGGCGCATCATCCCCAGGGGGGAGGGGGAGGGGGGGGTCGCCGTTCGTCTTTGGGGCTTTGATTCAGCGGATTCCGGGGCCACACCGGCCGGGCGGCCGGCACTCCATCACGGAGAGGGTCTCGGGGAGGATCCGCGTGATTAACGGAAGGCCAGGCAACAAACCAACAACCCGAGGAGGTGGCCGCGGCCATGACGCAGTGGAGGAGAATGACCGAGCGGCGCGCGTCCGGCAACGGGGCGCCAGACCGCGCCAGACTACCACTACCGGACACGTTTGGGGAGATGAAAAGGGGGAGGGGGAGTTGCACCCATCCCTGCAGCCCGCAGGGCCCGCAGCGGCAAGGCTGAGGCTCGCCGTGCCGCCCATGGTTGCTGTGACATCCGGCGTGAGGCCGCCGCGACCCGCTCCACACATCTCCGGGTTATTTTTAATACTTTCCGAGTCGCGCTACGGCTAAGGCTGCGCGGCGGCATGGCGCGGCACGGCGCGGCACGGCACGGCGCGGGGCTAGCCCCCCTCGGGTGTCAGGGCCCCTCGCCCATTCCCCTCCCCGCGCTATGCACTTTTCCCTCTCGACACTGGACGTGTTGAAACCTACTCGGGAAGCGTTAGCTGCCTTCTTGCCTCTGCCTGCACTCGGGGCCGGGCCCTTGGTCGGGCCAGGGGGGGGGGGGGGGGGGGGGGGTAGCGCTTCGGATGGGCTCAGAACGGAAATAAAGACAACGTCCCCGATCCCGCGTACGGACTTCCCGTTTCCCCGCCACCGTCTAGCTGCCACCGGCGAATTTTCTACTTATACTCTTCTCTAGCGAAGTCTAGGGTGTCTATCCGCGGCGCGTAGATACCCCCCGCGCCGGGGCTCGTGCGCTAGCGCGGGGTAGGTCCAGTCCCGCGTGGCCGGTGGCCGAGACAGAGAGGGAGAGAGATGCCGGCGTGGGTGGAAACACGTCATCGGTGTGACTCCCTTCAAGTGTGGCGGCGGCAATGTCACTCACTCGGTCGTTCCCAGTGACTCGCACTTCACTGCTGTTTGAACTAGGCGACTGACGTCACATTTTTCAGCGGACGATTTTGCTTGACAGGGTCCTGCTAGTCCACTCCACTGTTTGGCATGCAGTGCACTGCGCATGACCTACCGCACTGCTGCTGTTGCAGCCTAGCGCCGCCGACGCCCTGGTCGGCCGGGTTGGCCGGGTCGGCCGGGTCGGCTGCGTTTGCCGGCCGCAGTGCCTTCCAAAGCTTCATGCCGCCGGCATCCTGCGCACAGCGTGGGGCTCACAACGGCTCCTGCAAGAAAAAAATGGTTTTAAAAAATAAAACAAAAATCAAAGGGGAAAATTACACGGCACTTTGAACCGAAACATCAACTTTTTGGGGGCTGAGTCACAATCAATCAGCGTGTCTGGTCTGAGATGAAGAATGAAGTCAGTCGTCGACAGCTCGTTACTTCGTTATCAGGGCGACGGCGCATTCGCCGTTCGTGGACTCCGGGACCACAGTCGACGATTTGGCCAATTTCCCCCAATGTCCGCCACTCCGTGCCACTCGCCCCCATTCTGCCCGGAGCCGCTTGCTTGCTTGCTTGCGCGCGCCAGGCAGCGCCAGCAGCGCCAGGCGGGGTCCTCAGTCCTCACTGCAAATTAATCACCAGCCCTGCCAGCAGGCGACTCCGAACCCTTCGCAGCGGTCTCTCTCGCTCTCGCGGGGAGTGCCGTAGGGGTGCGAGCGAGACGGCGACACCACAACACTGCGGAATCGCTCTGGCCCCGACACGATTCGCAAGCAAGCGCAGCGCGCAGCGAAAGAGGAAAATCCTCTCCACTGCTTTCTTTCCCCTCTCTCTCCGCCATCACGAGATTGAGCGCCCCGCCCCGCCCGGCCCGGCGGCCCGGCGTGTAATTTGCACCAGGATCGCCAAACACGTCCGCTCGTCTGCTCTCGTTTGTCCGTCGCGTCGCGGGGCCGCAGCCTACAGTGCAGGCCACTCGGCGACGCGGCGCACCGATGACGAGGCGGGGGCACTGCTAATTCACTCCGCGTTCCGCGTTCGGGACCGATCAGTGCTGCCGCACACGCAGAAAGAACTTCCCACGATGGGCCAGTGTCGAAAGGGTTGCCTACCTCAGCCTGCTCACTAGGCAACTTCCAGAGAGCAAACGTCCAGATTGTCTGATTAGGCAGGCCAAGGTAGGCAACCCTTTCGACACTGTTTTTGTCTGGTCCACTGCAGGTGGTCCTCATTGCATCCTGTTAGCACCAGCCTCGTCAACACGAGGAAACGCGTCGATTCGTTCACCTTGTTCGGGTGGTGGTCCCGGTGGTCCCGGTGGTCCCGCCCTGGGGCCGGCGCATCACAGCAGCAGAGCGTCACCGCTCCCTCCGCTGCGGAGACTTCCGAGGGCGCCTCGCTGTGCGCGCAGCAGCCACTCTGATTGGCCGATAAGCCCCTCGACGATGATGACGCCGATGACGCGGCCTTCGAGTGCCACGCAAACTCACTTCCCCGCTAACTGGATCACCACCCCGGCCTGGAGCAGCCCGGGGCAGGGCGCCGTCGACGGCATCAATCTCACCACGTTCACCACTGTCACCACAACACTTTTCACCAGCGCCTACTTTCGCCGCCGTTCGGCAAAACTGTCGCGTCGCGGTGTTCGCTGGCGGCGCGGCCACGCGGCCGTGGAGCACGACGACGACGAGGACGATGGAGGCGGTCGCGGCTAGTCGCGGCGCGCGGTCGGCGGGCGGGACGGCGGCGTTGTCGCTGTCGCGCCGCGTCGCCTTCCAAAACAAAACTGATCACTTCTCTCTCTTCTCCGCCCCGGCGGGATGCTGGGCGCGCTGGGCGCGCTGGGCGTCGCGGCGTCCTGCCGGCAAGGCGCGGCAAGGGCCGAAGGGAGAGGGGAGGGGGGAGGGCCTTGCGGCTAGGGCCGAACCGGCGACGAGCCCGGCCTCGGCCGCCTCCTCAAAGTCGCTGGAAAGCCCGACGTCGTCGGCGTGCAAGTACACCGTGCACTCGTCGCGCGTCGCCGGCACGCGCTCGCGAAGTAAAATCAAAAGAACGTCGATGGAATTAGCTTCTGGCTCTTCCTGGTGACAGTGTGACAGTGCACGCAGGCGTTTTGTTTTGGCCGATTCCGTCCCCCTGACTCACCCGACTTTCCCCCCACTCGGTGGACCGTGGCGGCGGCAGCGGCGGCCTGCCTCTCTTGCGGTGTAGGGCGAGTACGCACTTCGGGGCGTCGCCGGCGACCGTCGGCGCCAAAGCCCCGACGCTTTGCAAAACGCGACTTTCTCATTTTCGAAAACGGCCGCCGGTGCGGCGCAGTCCGTCTCAAATCGGGAACAGCAGGGGCGCCACGCCGCGGGCAGACACTGTCTCTGTCTCTCTCGCACCCACGGGGCGTGCCGGAGGGCGCGCGGGTGCGAGAGAGACAGAGAGACAGAGACGGCACCCTGCAGGCGTCGTCGCCAACAAATACGACGCCGGCATAAATACCTTCCGATCGCCGTTCTCTCTCCGTCGCACTCGGTCGGCGCGTCGTCGCGTGGGAGGGCGCGGCCGAGTGCGTGCCCTGGGCTTCGACCCGGCCCGGCCCGGCCGCCACCAACCAGTAGTCGTTCCATTTGAGTTACCATCTTGGCTCCCAGACTCCCACGGACACGACGAAGCCAGCTAAAAACTATCGGGCTTCTTCTCGCCCTCCTCCATCTCCTCGGCACTCCTCGGCCCACGCACCCCACAGCTGCACCGTCCCGCCCTGGTGTGTGCCAGTGTGTCTGTGTTGTCAACATTTTCTGAGGAAGGGGTTCGCTCCCGCCGCGCCGCGCCCCGCCCCGCCCCGCCCCGCCCCGCCTTCAAGTCCACCAGATAAATAAATCCGCGGAGCGAAAATTAATTGGTCAGGCCGGCATGGCGACAGCGAACAAGATGTATTCGTGGTAATAATTGGGGCGAGTCGAGCAAGGCAGGCCACGGCAGGCCGGCCGGGCGAGGAGGGAGGGACCGACGGGGGTGCCTGCCCGGCCTGCAGATGCACATGCAAATGCTGCAGACGGTCGACGAGAAAAACACCTCTGCAGCACGCGGCAGCACGTCACGTCGTGTGTGAATTGAACCACAAGCAACCACCAACCACGAAAAAAGTGTCGGTATTCGAACTTCGGACTCCACCCGAGGACAGCGGGGCTCTGGGCCGCTCTGGGCCTTGCGGTAATTACCACCAGCTAGTCGCTTCGCATGCTTCGACCGGTGCCCAATCAGGGCTGCGATCTGAACCGAGAGAAGCTCACCGCGACCGCGATCGAAATGCATTAGTCGGCCACCGCGTCGCCGACATGCCCGTGTCCTGACAACGGCACTGGTAAAGCACGAAAACAACAACAACCACATTGACCGTGACAGAGACGGCCGTTGCGTGATCCTTGATCGCGTCGTCGTTTCGGCATCGCGGCATCGCGGCATCGCGGCATCGCGGCACCGCCCCGTCCGCGGCACCGCGGCGCAGAGGCATTCCCTCGCGAGCTGGAGGCGGAGGGCCTCGACGGCGAGCCTCGACGGCGTCCCTGCGGGAGGTCCAGGATGGCGGTCTCCTCGTTCTTCAAGGCGCTCGCCAAGGGGCACAGGCTGTTCCAGACGAGCGTGCTGCTGCAGACGCGCGAGTACTTCGACAAGAGCACGCTGCACGGCGTGCGCTACATCGCGGAGACGCGCCGCCCCTTCTACGAGAAGTGCGTGTCCCTGTCCGTCGTGTGTCCGCGGCGCCGGCGGCCGAAACTCCAGACGCGCTTTGAGCTCCAGAGTCGCTAAACGGGACTCGAACCGAGCAAGTGACCCCACCAATGGATTCCTCGTTCGGAGAGCAAACCATCGGTGGGGTCACTCGCTCGGTTCGAGTCCTGTTTAGCGACTCTGGCGCTCAAAACGCGTCCGTCGTCCTCCAGGTTCATGTGGTTCTGCACGACGAGCATCGGCACGGTGGCCGCGCTCGTCATCATCGCCTCGCTGTGGCAGAAGTTCCAGACCAAGCCCACCATCACGGGGCTGGACACCGACTTCCACAACTGGGACGTGCCCTTCCCCGCCATCACCCTCTGTCAGAGCGACCCGTCCAACCGCTCGCTCGTGCAGGACTACGTCGCCAGGTAAGGTCGCGGGTTCGAGCCCCGCCCCTTTTTTCTTTTTTTTTGTTCTTTGGTTGGCGTGGTGGAAGGAGGCATAGCTTGGCGCTGCCTGTGTGAGCGTCATTGCCCCTGGAAGAACGATGTTACTTACACTGAGGGAGACGTGCTGTACGAAATGAAACGCCACTGATGATCAACGAAAGCTCTGCAGCAGCATGCACCCTCTCCGGCACGACACATGTGTGTGAGTGCGCGCGTACGTGCGTGAAGCGTGCGTGAGCTGGTGTGCGTGAAATGTGTCTTCTCCGTCGCTCCCATTCGTCAGCCGAGTGTCTAAGAGAGACGGAGAGAGTCCGGTGGACGCAGCCCGGCCAAACAGACGTCCATTAATCTTGGGCAGCAGGCCCGGCCGGGCCGCCCCTCGGCCTCCCCAAACCCAAACCAAACCCATGCAGACCGCATGTCAAGTAGCCGACCACACGGTGGTCCCAGCTTCGAACACCGGCACCGATCGCTTTTTTGGAAGTGAAAAATTTAGCTGTTGCCAAGCAGCCCAGACTTTTCATTTTTGTGTGTTTTTAGACACTGGAAGGACGCGAACGAAGAGAAGCGCACCTACTACGAGAACTTCCTGGTGGCGCTGGCCAACATCTCGTACGACAGCATCGGGCTGCTGGAGCCCTACTTCGACGACCCCGACCTGCCGCAGACCAACCTCAAGCAGATCGTGTACGAGGTGAGTCGCTCTGCCCACCCTTTACGGGGCGCCCCACGAGTGCGAGGGAGACAGAGTCTTGGCGTGCAGGTGGTGAGCCGCTGCCACGTGCTGGTGGAGTGCGCGTGGAAGGGCGACCCCGAGCTGGACTGCTGTCCCTTCTTCACGCCCATCTTCACGGAGAACGGCTTCTGCTACTCCTTCAACCTGGCCTTCAACGAGACCGAGTGGCCGTAGTGAGTCTCCCCCTTTCTCGCTCGCCGCTCACTCCGAGCGTCCGGGTCATTCCCTCTCCCTCACTCGACCACTCGTCTGCCCGCAGTGAATACAACAGGAGGCCGGTCTTCAGGCGGGAGTACATCCAGGAGACGGACATGACCTGGTCCATGTCCATCGACACCGACGACCCGCAGAACAACACTGTGTTTGTGAGCGACCGCCGACCTAACAAAGCAGTGCCATCTGTGGTGATGAAAATTCCCTCGATGCACCAGTGTCGGAATAAGATCTCAGCCGGGCTTTGCTCTCGATAAGTTGCCCAGTGCGGCCTGAGATTTTCAACCCTTTCGACTGCATCTTGGGGATGTTCCGCCTCCTTGCGTGGCACCACTGGCGATAACACACTGAACCGCCCCCAGGTGTACATCGGCAGCTCGGACTACCTGCCGACGCTGGACCTGTCGCCGCACCACTCGTGGACGCGCCGCATCTCGCGGCTCTCGTTCGAGGCCAAGGAGACGTACACGACGGAGGAGTGCCGGCAGCTGTCCATCCAGCAGCGGCGCTGCGTGTTCGCCGACGAGATCGACCTGGTGACGGACGACAAGTACACCTTCGCGGCCTGCATGCGCCAGTGCCGCATGGAGCTGGCGCAACGCCTGTGCGGCTGCCTGCCCTTCTTCTACCCGCCGGCCCGCAAGGTCAAGGGCTACAAGTGTAAGCACCAACGTGCACCAACGTCACATGGACCTAACCTAACCTTCCACATGACCTCCCCGCCCAAAAAAGGCTTCGAGCGATTGACGACCTGTTTCTGAAACCCCTGCTTTTCATATTTCAGATAACTTCCGCTACTGTTCGCTGAAGGAGCTGGGCTGCATTGCCAAGCACGCTGGTACGTAACACCTTTCAAAAATAAATAGTGCCCCCGATTTTAATTTTTTAAAAGAGCTTTGGTACTTAATTAACCTGGGACTCGAATGATTACAGAGAAGTTCAGCACGCGACACATCGAATGCAACTGCGAACTGGGCTGCAAGCACACGGTCTACGAGATGGAGAAGCTGCACGAGCCCGGGCCGTGAGTGCTGACCAGCCCGAAATGGGACTGCTTGCCCCTCCGCTCTGCGCTTGCTCTGCGCTGCCTTGATGCGTGTCGCGTTTCAATGTTCCAGGGACATGGAGGGAAGCCCACTCGAGATCGGCTTCGTCTCCTGGCCCATGGTGAGGTACAAGAGGGAAGTCCTGTTCGGCTGGGTCGATCTGCTTGGTGAGTCCAGAGGATTCATCAAGTTCACCAACACCATTTTTTAAAACAAACTAAAAAATATTTTTTTAGACTTTTTTTCGTAATGACTATAGGGCATGGTGCAAATAGTGAATCCACGGCAGCTCGCACCACCTAGTGCTAATAAACTTTACCAACTGTTTTTGTGAATGCAGTGGCGTTTGGTGGCATCGCGGGCCTGTTCCTGGGCTTCAGCCTGCTGAGCGGCGTGGAGATCGTGTACTACTTCACGGTGAGGGCCCTGTGCATGGTGTGTCGGGACAAGGACGAGCTGCAGCGCCTCACCGAGGAGTACGACAGGTGAGCCGAACGAAACGAAAACGAAGAGGGAAACGCGAAAAGGGAAACGCGAAAATCCCCCAAACAACCATTCACGTTCTGACTCTCATTCTCCAGGGCGGCCAAGCCGAAGGTGGACTTGTCTCTGCGGCCCCACTTCATGGAGGCGCCCCACGAGAACGACTCGGCCAGAGACAGGGACGACGGCAACACCGTGGGCGGCCTCGGCTACGGCGGCGGCCGTGGCTTCCTGCAGGGGCAGCAGCAACGACGCAGAATGTCCATCCGCAGCCACAACGACAGGAACCAGAACCAGTGGCCGATCCCGTACTTGCCGTAGATCGCTTTGCCCACATTCTATTACGAATAAAAAAAGAAGTTTCCATGGTTTTTAGTGGAGTATCAATTTTAGAGAGGTGAAAACTACCCTACACAACGCTCTTGCTCGGGAAAATGAGGGGAGAAGATAAGATAACGACATGTGTGTGTAGATGGAATTTTATTCAAAGCAGGTGTTCTCAACAGCAGAGGATAATGGGTCTCTGTAATTACTGAGCATAGTTTAAGTACTTAACTCAATTTTAATTCAATTGTGGAGATCACAAAGTCAATATGCTAATCATTTTGAAGCACAAGCATACAACCCAATTAATGCCGATGTTCATTAATTCAATGCTAACAAAATAAAAATATTCCTTTTAGCACATAAAATATGCACAAGGCAGGCTTACAAAACAAGGGAAAAAAATTATTCTCAATACCAACAGAAACAGAACAGATGAAAAACATCAGTGTTCTGTTGGTTACAATACTACTGTACTTGTATCACAGTCAATATAGGATGTTTGTTTATCATACCCCATAGGTTTCCTTAGAATGTACCACATGCTTATTGCTTAGCATGCCTAATTCAGTCATGTTACTCTAAGACTTCACAACAACAATTTTAATAAGGAAAGCAAAGTAACATTAACAGCACAAAAGACAAAAATATTAACATGAAACAGGCAAGTCAAAAACAATTGAGAAACAGTACTGATGTACAAAACAAACAAGGGTCAAAATTACAGGAAAAAATCCTTCTTGTAAGCCTTGTCTCCTATGAATAGCCCAAGGCGTAAAATAGCATCTGCACACGCTTCTAAGCAAATATCACTTTCACATTCAGTTCCATCAGCATCCACTGAAAAATGAAATCACAAAGTATTATAACACCAACAACTAACTGAAATTATAAGTCTAACACTAGTTGTCATGTAAGGCACATACCTAATGTGATTGTCCTAGGTTTCGTAAACAGGGTTGGTTTGTGAGATCTAACCAAAGCTTTCCATGTAATACAGCCAAGTTTCCGAAGGACCTAGGAAGCAGGGTTTGAAATAAGAAACATTTTTTTTTAAAACAGTTCTAATTTTGAATTTTAAAGATCATAGATGGAAATGAAAGCCATATGAGGGGAACTTACCTCACAGAGCTCCCTTGTATGAAAGGGCTGAAGACCAGGAGAGAACCTCTCCCCGACTCTATCCAAAGAGTATCCAGGGTTTGACATGCAATGTCCAAGAACAGCCCCAAGTAATCGGTCCAGCACTCGCCTGTTCACAGTACCATCAACTCGAATCCATGGTCTCATACTTACTCTGATTCGATTAGCAGGCCTGCCAGAAAGAAAAAAATGTATACAACTGATGAAAACTATTCACAATGGTGAGAAACCTGTACATGCTGGTTCATACTACACTTACAGATTGTCCAGTTCGTCAAGGAAAGGGAGAGAACTTTCTTGTAGCCTTGGTTTGCCACGCTTTGTTCGGGCATTTTTGAGGTGCAGGACTTTCTTGGGTTCAATGTTTGGTGACTCAGATTGTGCTTCTGTCTCATTGTTGGCACCACTCTCTGGATCATCAACAGCTTCTTCATCAACTTCCTCCTCTGGTTCTGCATCTTCTTCTTCCTCTTCCTCCTCCTCCTCTTCCTCATCATTAATTTCTTGGGGTACTTCTTCACCAATTCCTTCAATCTCCATGTAACTATCATCCTCAGCCTCATCTACAAAAAAAGAAAGGAAAAAACATTTTAGAATAGAAGAATAGAAATGATGATGGACATTAGGTGGAACAGAAGTGTCAGACATACCCTTATCATCAGATAAAGCTAGGACTTTCCCATCAGTAGGATTGAGCTTTTCTTTATCCAACCTTAACAATTTGCTGGAGTGAATTAGCCATGGCCGAACTTTTTTATAGTGAACAATGACTAGCTTAGTTACACCCGCCCGCAGCAAAAGCTCTGCTTCCACAAGAGACTCCAGTGTTTCAGCCAAAATTGATTTATTGTTCTCGAACTCATTCTGACAAAACAAATTAGAAGAGCATTATGAATTTGTAAACCGGTATACAAAATTAGCAAGCTAATAGAGTTTATAACAAAATACACACCCGCAGTTCATCCATAGTAGCACCAAATTCATTTTTGGACAAACAAAATTCCAGAATTTGGAGCATAAATGACTCATCAATGCCCTTAAAAGCTATTTCAGCCAAAACAACATTTTCTGGTAAATTAGGGCCTTCAAACACAGCTCTCCTGTAAAAGAGGGAAGTATGAAATTACTAGATGATTAACTATGAATGTTCAGACAAAACAAATTTACAATGAAACAAAGCATTACTTTTTTATGTTTTCAAGAACATCATTTGCCAATGCAGCATTTACAGGAAGTAAAGATCTTGACACAGCACACTTAATTCTTGTACCACTAGGATCGATTCCCACCAATGGTTCAGTCTGGGCATCAGAGGACAAGTCTTCCTTAAGTCGACAAACAACCTGTAAAAATTTGTTGAAAGTTTTGGTCAATAGGTAAAATGTGTGGTAAGACAAGAAAAGAATGCATTTATTAAGACTTACCTTGCAAGAGTTAACAACAAAGAAGTCATGAGCATGTTGTGTTTCTTGTACTTTATTGACTTCCGTTTGTTCGTTCTCCTCTCTCATCATGTAAAGGGCTATACGTGTAGCAGCTCGGGCAACAGCAATTTGAGGAGTGCCTGCTGTTACTGAAAAGAAAATGGTGATTAATGGCCTCTATTTTACACCCTACCTACCCCATAAAAAAGCACCTTAAATCTTATTGCTGCTTAAACTTATTTTTTCCCTCTTCAACCCATTAGATTAATTACCTTTGTGACTTCCATAGTCTTCATCATCACTCTCACTGTCCAGTTCTGACAAACCCGCTTTCTTGGTCCGTTTTGCAACCACATCAGAGGTGGCAGGTTCTGATGTTGCTGCTGTTTTTCTCTTCTTGCTACTCGGCTCAGAGTCACTTTCAGTTTCTGCATCTTCATTCCAAACATCATCACTTGATAGCATGTCCAGGAAAGGCTTTTGACCTGCCGATACCAGTGGAGCAGCCAGTGGATCACCAGCTTTTGCCAAATCACGGCTAACCTTACATTTGCGCAGAATATCTCTGTATCGCTGAAAAATAATTTCAAACCATATGTCAAAGAGATAGTTTGCAGACTAATTTTCTGATGAATATGTAAAGCTTACTCACATCAACTATTCTATTATATGTTTCATCTTTTCTAGAAATTCTTGGATCTAAAATGATCAGCTGGTCTGGTATAGTAATTTGGAAAACAACTGCAAAAAAAAAAAAAAAGCAAAAGGTTTATAAAACGATTTTAAAATTAAGGACAAAGATACAAGATTTATCTAACTTCTTACTTTGTCCATAATGATGTATTCAATAAATGTTGCTGCTGAGCCACCATCAACAACAAGGAATTCTAACCCATTTACATCTGTGTTCAACAACATGTCCCAAGCTAGCTTTTGAAGGGTAACAAAGGATTCAGAGAATATTTCATACTGGAACTTAGTTTGGAGAAGGTGCTGATAGCTAGAGGAAACATCAAATAAAAAAGCAAGAGGTTTAATTTAGATACAGACATCACTGATAAGAAACTATCATTTTGATACACACCTGATAGAAAGTTGGTAAGGACAATTGGATACAGGGAGGAATTGGCCAGACTTCAGTTTTGTTCGAGCGTATGGTCTTCTAAGGGAAACCATTTGGTCAGATCTTATCTTGGCCATGGTGGATCGCAATAGAGCATCAGGGTATTGTTGATATACCCCAAATAACTGATATGCATAATTTGTCTTGTCGTTCATACAACATAGTGAACTCTGAAAAAATTAAGGAACCATGTAATAACAGTCTAAATCTAAGAGAAGAAACTAATTGTTTCACTCACATAAATCATTGCATTTATGACAGATGCATGAATGTCCGCAGTCTCTGCTACATCTGCAAATTTGCCCTTCTTGCGAATGGAGTTTTGTGGACTGGCAATAACATATGAGGTCCTGCACAACAATCAACATTTTAGTTTCAAAATGCAATATAATATAAACCTATACAAACACACCAACAAAAATAACAAACCTCAGCTCTTCCACAGTATCAGGAATTAGGGCTTTTTCATAAGCAACTGAATTTGATCTCATGTTTTGGAAACGTCCCTGAAGTATGTCCACAAGTTCAGAAAACTTATCATTCATGGTCTGTTCTATGACTTCTGGACTTTCTTCTTGGCTTTTCAAATTATTTAAGAGATTACCATACACCTTGTTGATTTTAGGATCTTGCTTTATTTCCTCTAAGCAGAGGGAAACACTACGAGCTGTAGATGGATTTTTCATCATGTAGACAATTCTTCTTTGCACAGCTCTAGATGTTTTATTTTTAGAACTATCTATCACTCGGTGGAGCAAATTTCTCCAGGTTTGCATTGTTATACATTGATTGCGTGCTTGAGGAGACAAGTAAGAGGAGGCTACTTTACAGAGCAAGAGAATATTGTCTTCTGGAGCAGTCCATTCCACTCTGAGTTTACTCATTAGGGCAAGGGCCTCCAAATCAATATCATCATAGTATGGCTTCTTCCTAGAAGCCTTAGGAAGAGGAACTTTCCGAACCTGATTTTGCTTGGAGGAGCGTTTTTTGGCAACCACAGTTTTAGCAGCCTCAGGCTTCTGAGACTTCTTTGCGACAAAATTCTTGGGTGATAAGGTCTCTCCAGTGATCAGTTTTGCAGTCTTAGATGGCTGGCCAAAAGTAACTTTCTTCCCACTCTTTTTGGCTAGTGGAAGGTGGTCATTTACCACTGGTGTGTGCAGACCATCAATGTCGGAATCAGAGACATGGTTGAACCAATTCCAATTCCTTTTCAGATGTGAAAACAAAGCAGAGTCCAGCCCTGCGGCACCACAATGGTCCCCAGGAACATCACCGCCGTCTAGAAAAGCTGCTTCCTCTGGAGTGCGAGCCTGGAGAGCAGCTTCCATTGCAGGCTTGTTTTCCAGGACTTCCACTGTAATTTCCTTTCCAGAAACACACATTCGTCCGCCCAGTGAGGTGTTCACACAGATGTACCACAACTGGTACCAGTACTGGTCTACATCTTGGAAAGAACCAAAGTGAAACCGCAGTACTTTGTAATCCAAATCACGCGAAATTTGATGATATCCAGCAGGGGATGTTGTTGTATCCATTAAAGAGGTGTTCTTGTTCAAGTAGATAAAAACCTAGGCAAACAACACGAAAATTGATGTATCATTGATTTTGTCTTAAGAAATGAAAGAAATGTTAGGTGATCTTGAAAGGATTGTGCCCAACCTGATCTTTCTCCTTCAGTTTTTGAGGGCCAAACTGAACAAGTCCAATGTAACACAAGCGGCTCACAACCTCATGACAGTTAAAAATATATCTAAGACAGAAAGAGACATTCTTAAGATTAAACACAAGGCTACAATTACAACAAATCAGTAAATTAACAGTAAATGTTACCTGCGAGCAGCTGTTAACTGATTCCGAATTATTGGTGGTAGATGTTTTAGAAGGTAGTGTTTTCTTATTGGGTGTGAAAGGTACTCATCCAAGCCTGATACCTCATAATTTATGTTAACAAGGTGCAAGAAGATTGACAAAGGCAGCCGCAACAGTATATCACACATGATAGCCCACCCTTTGGGCCAGCCTAAAATACAAAGGCACCATAAATTAGTTCCAGATACACGGAATATTGGCAGAAGCAAATTACAGAAGCTTGAAAAATGTACCTGAATGCTGAGGAAGGGGAGGTATGAACATTCTCCAATCTACAGCTGGAAAATATACTTGGGGCATTTCATTTTCTATTTCAACTGATAGAGGGGTGATATCATTCAAAGTTTCTTTGACTGCTAGTTGGTCAATATCAGACACTCCAGCATAGTCATGTATCAGATAAAATAGCAACTTATGCATTGTCTTCATCCTCACAAATTTGGGCTGGTAACCATATTTCTTCCCAAGTTTCTGAAAAAAAAAAAAAAAATACAATTTAATTTTATACAGACATGACCCCTTGAGGTAAAAACTAAGTACCAGTATCTTATGTGAAAAACTCACAGAATTGCGCTTGAATAAAGTGGTTTCATTCGAAGCTTTCGAAGATATGGAAGACTCCAAAACACTCATTTCATTCAGACTTTCATCAATTGTAGAAGAATTTAATTTAAAATTTGGATCTTCTATCAAGCTCCTAAGAATAGCCTTGTCCCTTGTCTCCTGCATCATTTGTTGCAACCGGTCATTGTTTGGTATAAACATTTTCATCTTGGCCTGGTCTAAAGCCGATTGAATAAGGCTATGATCTAGATGGTAAGAAATTCAAAATTAGTGATCAGTCTTCACAAACAGCAAAACTTATCTCCCAAAAGTTTTATAAAATCTTGATTTTCACATACCAACAGTAACACCCGGCTGACAAACAAAGTTTAAAGTTTTCTCTTTACAAGAACCCTTCATGTGAACTCTAATAGTTTTAATATGGCCATCTTTATTCAGTTTTTCCAGTAAACGATGAAGCGACTTCCTATCAATTTTAGTACTGAGTCCTTCTTTCTCTTCTTCTTCATGAATTAGCTGTACAAAGCAGAAAATTAGTATATCAATGTAAAGCACTCAAGTTAAGATTTTAATAAAGATGAAGATAAGGGCACCTTCAAGAGTTTTGTTAAGTCCTCAATCACAATGTGCTGCTGAACAGCTTCAATGATGAGGTTGACTCTTTTCAAAACTCTGGTTGTAATGGCTGGGGATTCCTTGTGGTGTTTGTTCTTTCCACCATAGATACTTTTAACTTCATCAGTGAAACTTCCATTGCTGCTGATACAAAAATCAAAATGAATCACACATGGTAAAAACAAAGCACAAAACATTTTAAAAGAGAAATAAGATCGTACTCTTTTGTTTCGATGAATGAAACATCCTCTGCTATAACAATTTCAGTTGGATTGCCTATGTCCATCTCATCGGCAGCATCTTGGAGGGAAAGCTCTGTAGTAACAGTCTTTCGCTTCCTGCCTCTGCCCTTTTTAGTTGGTGACAACAACGGGGTAGACTGATGCATATTGCTCTGAGCGAGTAATTGATTGATACTTTCACTGAAGTCAGCTTGGATCATTGCATTTTCCCCATTTTCTTCATCATCTGGCACAGCTTCCATGAAGGGAATATCTGGGAACTCCATTTTGACACACTCTACTAAAAGTGGTGCAATTTCCTCATGAGAAGGCATACTTTCATCATGGCAAAAACCATTTGCTTCTTCAATCCTTCTTCTCTTCTCTAATTGATCACACAGATCATCTACAAAAGAATAGACAGTATTACTACGTACTGTGACATTACCATCCTGACAAGATTTATGCGGTCAGTTTATAACAAATTACACTATACCTTCAGGTTTTCTTTTAGGTTCACTGGGTTTGGAAAGCAGTGAAAGCATTTTATCTCTCTGTTTATGAAATTCTTGACTCAAATGACCAGATGAGTCAAAACGTTTTGAGCAATATCTGAAATAAAAGAAACCATTAGAATTGGAACCGAGAAAGCTCAAAAGAGACTGTTTTGAATGAAGGCAACACACTTGTAAAATCGCTGACGCCCAACATCATTCATGAATGTAGAAACTAAATTCCGGCGTAGAAGGTTACGGCACAAAGTCCTAGCTTGTAGTTTTGTCATGCCCAGTTTTTTAGACAGTTCAACTTGAGTTAATCCATTGGGTCCAGCTTCATCAACTGCATTGAAGGCTTGAGTCATTATGGGGACATCTAGCATTCGTGTAGACTCATCAACATAGCCTGCAAACAAATGTTGAATTGAAATATATCATTTTTTAGACTGATTGCTCAATTAGGAGCACCAAAACATTACACAAATATCACTAGAATAATTACCAATGCCTTCCTCCTCTTCCTCTGCTTCTTCTTCTTTTACCCATTCATCTTTTACAGAACAATTTGGATTTACAAGTCTCACTACTCTAATAAGTTTTTCTTTATCAGATCCTTTGTTCTTCCACACCTCTCTAGGAGCATCAGGATGAACAGTTCTATAGGTAACTTTCTGTAATTTTATTAAAGTGTTTGAAACAAAGGAATCATAAACATCATAAACATAAGCATAATAAACATGCCTAGGTAATTAATAAGAAGTCAAAATTGTTACCTCTGATTTAACAAATCTAAGAAAGTCTGGAGTTTTAAATAGTTTTTTAGGCAGAGTTGTGCCTCCTATTTCATTACGGACTTCTTCATAATCAGCTAGAAAATTGACTTTGCCCCTTAGAAATTCGACTATTCTCTCAGTCCAATAATATATTTTTGACTTATGCTCTGAGAAGAAGCGTGGTAAGTGTAATAAACTACCACTGCAGTTTTGAGCATTGGACTTAAGATTAAAACCCTGGATTAATTTAGAAAGAAGCAAAACAAAAACAAACACATCAATTTAGCAAGTTATATTTAAGGTTAATACAATAAAATGTACACTTAAGTTTACACAAACCTGTTTTGTAATCAGCTTGTGAAGAAGTAATGTTTTTCTATAATAAAATAAACTTTTTGGATCTTCTCCGGTACAATGTAGACTAATCTTTCCTTGAGTGACTTCTCCATGATATCGAGCACGACCGATTCTTTCAAGAATACAGAAGTGCATAGGTGTCAACTCCAAACATGGATCAACATCATCTCCCATTAGAGCCGCAGACCTAACGCTTTGACTTGCAACAAGCACTAATCTTGATCCCCATCTGTAAAATGAAATCAATTAATAAACAGATGATACAGGAAAAAAAATTCTTTTCATTGATGATTGCAGCAACAGTCACAAAAAACTAAATTAAATCAAGAGTAATTACTTTCTTATTGCTGCTTCCAAAGTAGCTTGTTTAGCTCTCTCTGTAATTTCTCGCCGATCATCATAAAGAGGACATGAACCTATAATGCCCCTGGTTTGGTCATCTACTACTTTGAAAGGGTAGATGTCTTCAGGTATTATTTCCTAGATAGTTACGACAAATTTGCAATTTAAAGACCAATCTTTTCCTTACAAAATCCATTGTAATAAAGAAGCTTACCGGCTCTATCACATTGCCAAGTTCATGGTCGACTAACTCGAATCGGTTGAACAAAACTAATGGAGATCGCTCTGTTGGCAATTCAAAAACATCCACATCTTCTAGTCTTTTGACTACCTCCCATATAAACTTCTGGGCATCTTGATCAATGGCCATGGGGAAATGTGGACAAGCCCCAAGGCGCACCCATAGACCTGAGGATAAAATGAGAATCAGATCAATTTGCACATCAATCAAAAATTTTGAAAGACAGAAAACTGATATTTACCTTGCAACGTTATGCCATCCAAGCCTTCCAAGGCAATTTCGTCTAAGATTGTTGCTGTGTAATCCAAGCTGCGGCTGGACAGCTCCTTATCCACGCGTCCCGTTTGTCCGAACATTTTGCTAGAGGAGTCTTGCAGTGAACCCGCAAGGCTGGAATATATGGCAAAACAGCAACATTTGAGAAAAGTTCACCATAGATTTGTCATTCATTAAAAAAAGGAGGGGATCATGATCCAATTTTACGAGGGATGATGAAGAAAAGATTAAATGATAAAGTCGAACCGGTCATCAAAAACAAAATGTTAAAAATTAATTTTGGGTAGTCCAAATGTGAGGTAGAGGCAGGTGAAAGTTGCATGACACTGTCAAACATCGGACTAGTGAAGCCAAATGGAAAAAGCTCGAAAAACAGCAATTACTTTAGTGAAGACGATTAACTGCCATCATCTTCAAGTGTAGTTCAAAAAAAGTTTAATCAAAAATACTATTACGCTTCCTAACCTCTGCTCACCAGTGCAGTAGCTGTCAGATCGCCACAAATCATCGACACAGTCGTGTATCTAGTCAAGGTTGAAACAGCGTTCAAAGGGTGGACATCCTCGTTGAAAACGACACCACTACATCGCGAATTTATCAAGTTATGTACGCGTTTCAACAACAAAATAACACAACCAGGCGTTGTGTGTTGCGGTCTGGTTCGGCGTCGATGGTTATTCGATTAGTCGATCGGAAGAGCAATTTCGCATGAAATACGTACAATTTCTCATACATATGTTTACAACCAAAACCTAACCTGCCTTGACCTCGTTGTGTAGTGCCTTTGGTCTCAAGTGTCAGCCAAGAAACGTTGTTTTGGCTTTGTCTAGTCAGTTGGCTCGTTAGCTTTTGACATGGACTGCAAAGTTTGCAACAGTGCAGTCTCCAAGTACAAGTGCCCCTCTTGCAGAATACCCTAGTAAGATTTTACCCCTGATACATATTATGGTTGTTAAGGATGCGGTTGCTTGTAAATATTACATTGTTTTCAGAGACCTAGGTGCTATCAAATATTTTAAGACAGCCTCTAAATGTCTGATCTCACCTACTTAGTTTTCTTGTTTTATGCGTTCAACACATCTCTTATTGCAGTTGTTCACTGGCTTGCTGGAAGACACACAAGAGCGTAGAATGTGATAAAGTACCTGCCACTCCTTCAACCATCACACCTGCCGAGCCATCGAACACAGTTATTCCTGAAACACCTGCAGCAACGTACAACTTCCCTACCGAGGACACTGTGCCACCTGAGAAGTTAAAAGAACTAGGTTTGCCACTTTCTATGTGCCGAATTGGTCTGTCTGTTTTGTTGCAGTATGTTTGTTCTTTAACATGTGTTTTGGTAATTTGCAGGTGATAATCAACAGTTAAAGGATATATTGTGTAACCCACATGTACGTGCAATTATATCGTCCCTTGATAAAGCGACCAATCCTAGGCAGCTCCTCCATGAAGCAATGCAGGAACCTATATTTGTAGAATTTGTTGATGAATGTATGAGAACAGTTAATCCTCCATCAAAAGAAGAATTAGAGGAAGCAATGATGCAATTGTAGTATTTTTGATGCTTGCTTGTGTGTTTTTTTGTGTGTGTTTTTTTTCTGTTAGTCATATTTTGTGATGGAATCTTAGCTGTGAAGCAGTGCTGTATCCTTTGTTTTGTGGAGTGATGGCTTGGTTGTAATCAAGCAACAAACTTGTTGTTTTGGATTTTACTGTATTTACTAGACACATTATCTTTTGTAAACTAATAATTAAGTACAACTGCAAATTGCAGAACTACAAAAAAAGTTATATTTTGATCATGTTACATGAAATTTTATTTTAATTATTTGAACACCTGTAGGTTCCTATAATCAATGTCAGTCATAACGGAAATCATGCTGGCAGTGGTTTATCTTTGTACAAACAATTACTTACAATGATTAATTACAAACTATTCACACAATTTCTTAATGAACTATTTTCTTTGACTATCATATGGCCACTAGCTATGGCAAGCAAGTGTTGGAAAAATCATCTCACTTTTGTAATTATAAATACACTTTTGATCTATCATGAAAAAAGGATAACTCCTAAAGCAGATATTTACACAGTTTTTACACTATTAGAACAAGTAATTAGTGACAACATTTTATCCTAGAAATAAATTAATTGGATTTCACAATAAAGTCTTTGAGCTGCCGTCCGTAAGTTAGCCATGGATCTAGAAAGCAGCGTCACCAGGCAGGGAAGTTTGAAATGCGCAAATAAGCTCGCGTCTGTCTTTTCTTGAGCTTCTTGGTTTTGAGCAAATGTTCTCACGGGGGGAAGGCCCGTGAGGGACGCCAGTCGGCGCTACACCGCGTGATGGCGCGGGGAGTATTGGCAGGTGCGAGGCCGCACCACTGGCAAAACCGCACGGCTGCAGAATCGCCGAGCTGGGTTGAAAAGCGGCGCGCAGAACGCAGTCGGACCAGCTGGGAGATCAGGACTGCCGAGTCGGCCAAGCTGTTCCAGTTCACTTCTGGCCTCTTCAATCACCCGCCAAAAAAGGAAAACAGGAGAGGGCCGGCGAGACTCCGCGGCCGAGCGACTTTGAATCGCTTGAGCGCGGGGTATTGGCGCGTTGAGGGGGTTCAGAGGGTTCAGAACATGGCGGTGCCGTTGCCCACGGGGGTGTACACGTAGGGCGCCAGGTCCTCGGGCAGGGTGTAGCCGTCCAGCTCCTGCGCCAGCGCGAAGTACCGCCGGCGGACGTGGTGCGCGGCGGACTTGGGCTGCCGGTCCCTCGTGAAGATGCCCTTCTTGTTGCCGCCCACGCGAGTCACGGCTGCGGGCAGAGGGTCCAATCAGCGCAAAGGAACAACAAGAACCAACGGGGGAAATGGAGGGCCACTCACTCTGCGCCGTCATGAAGTCCGCGAAGTTCCAGATCATCTCGCCGATGAACCAGCCCTTCTTGCGGAGGTTGTCGAAGCCCTTGAAGCTCTCCGACATGAGCGACGTCTGGTACTCCTCGGACCACACGTACTCGGGCAGCGTGTGGAGGCCGCCGTACGTGTCCGCGCCGTACTCCATCATGATGAAGGGCTTGGCGTACTTGTGCCGCCAGTTGGCCATGTCGTTCTCCGTGGACGTCCGGATGGTCTCGATGCGGCCCGGGTACGAGTACCAGCCGTAGTAGCGGTTCACACCCACCACGTCCAGGTGCTGCGCCACGCGGTCCTCGTAGAACTGGCGCGCCAGGGCGGCCGTCACGGGCCGCGTCTTGTCCAGCTGCCGCACGTAGGTCGCCACGTTCCTGGGGGCGTTCGGGTTCGGGTGAGAACACTTTCACTTCTGCTTGACAAGGGACGTCGACGACCGAGTCGACGACTTACTTGAAGTAGTTGTCCGCGTCGGCGAGCTGGGTGCGGGGCTCGTTGGCGATGGACCACATGATGACGCTGGGCCTGTTCTTGTCCCTGCGGATGAGCTCGCCCAGAGAGTCCTTGTGCTTCTGCAGCAGCGTGGGCGAGTAGTTCCTGCAGACACGTTCGGGATGAGCAGGTCGTCTGCCTACGCCCAACAGTGGGCCAGCGGTGAAGCGGCCAAAACGCGTATTGAGCTCGTCGCTAAACATGGCGGTGGACTTACTCGGTGTCCACGCTGGGGCACTCGTCGATGACCATGATGCCGGTCCGGTCCGCGAAGTCCATGATCTCCTCGGCGTAGGGGTAGTGCGAGGTGCGGAACGCGTTGGCGCCCACCCACTTGAGCAGGTTGAAGTCCCTCACCAGCGTCGGGTAGTCCAGGCCCTTGCCGCGGATCTACAAAAACAGAGGGTGAGCAACCTTCTCGAACCAAGACGACGAGGATGTTGCGGGTACTCACGTTGGCGTCCTCGTGCTTGCCGAAGCCGCGGATGTAGATGGGCTTGCCGTTGATGAGCACCGTGGAGTTGGTCCACTCGATGGTGCGGATGCCCACGGGCTGCCGGTACACGTCGTCGTGGCCCCAGATGTGGCCCGTCACGCGCACCTGCAAGGAGTACCCCGCGTCAGTGGTTTGCCCGGGAGTACCCCGCGTCAGTGGTTTGGCGGGAACACCCCGCGTCAGTGGTTTGGCGGGAATACCCCGCGTCAGTGGTTTGGCATGAAAATGGCGCGTACCTGGAAGGTGTAGAGGTAGCCCGGGTCCGGGTCCATGAGGTAGGGCCACCACAGCCGCGCGTCGGGCACCTCGATGCGCCCCTTGAGGCCGTCATGGTCCGTGTGGCTGTACACGTAGTTGCCGTCGGCGTCCAGGACGTCGATCTGGATGCGCGGCGTCTCCCTGGACGTGACTCCGCCCAGCGCCAGCTGGTAGTTGATGTAGCCTGTGGGGAGCGAGCGGCGTGGCAACGTGACAACGTGACAATGCGACAACGTGACAACGTGACAATGCGACAACGTGACAACGTGACAAACAGGCAGGACTGCGCCAAGCTGCGCGGCACTCCGGCAGCACCACTCACCCGTGGCGCCATCCACGTCCGTGGTGATGGTGATGTCGTCCAGGTAGGTGTGCGGCGTCGTGTACAGGTACACCGGCCGGTGGATGCCCGCGTAGTTGAAGAAGTCGAACGTGTAGGACTGGATCGTCTTCAAGCCCATGTCCCTGCAACACCGCGGTGCGACCATGGCGATAAACAAGGACTCCGGAAATCAGCCGGTCGTTGTGCTGCGGGGCCATGCGGGGCCATGCGGGGCAGATCCTGTATGCACTTTTTAGAGAAAGCACATTCCAGGTAGCTTATCCCCGCGGCGTGCATGGTGGCGGGTTTGCCGAGAACAGTCTCCTTGTTTGTGCTCCGCTGCGCTCCACCGCGCGGCACGCGGCACGCGGCAGTGACAGTGCGACTCACGTGTTTATCTCGACGAGCCTGCCCTGGGGCACGGACTGCTGGTAGAGCGTGTTGTCCACCTCCACGGTCACGCGGTTCTTGGCGCCGAAGCGGAGCTTGGACGTGATCTCCTTCTCGAAGGGCAGGTGCCCGATCTCGTGCATCATCACCAGGTGCCCGTTGATCCACTGTCGGGGAGGAGGAAATGCAGTTTTAGTCAGTGTAGCGCCCGCGGACCGGCGGGTAGGCAACCCGGCGCGGCCGTCTGCTCGGCGGGGCGGTGCAGCGCGCAGGCGCTCAGTCTCCTTAAACGGTACTCACCACCTTGGCGGCGTAGTGCACGCTGCCGAAGCGCATCCACACCCGGGACGAGCCGGCGTCCCAGTTGGCGGGCACGAAGAAGGTCCGGTCGTAGTACGCCACGCCCACGTGGTCGCGCACGTACCGCTCCGTGGTCAGGTCGTTGTAGGAGGCGGGCACCGGCATGGGGATCACCTCGCCCGTCTGGGGGACCAAGATCATTTCAGCGTTTGGCGCGGTGACGGTCTCCGAGGCGGGAACCAGGCACGACGAAAGAGAAAGAGAAAAGACGAGAGAGGAAATAGGAGAGAGAGACGGGAGATAAACAGCAGGTTGGCAGACAGGGCGGGGCCAGCCTGCCAGCCTGCCAGCCTGCCAACCTGGCGGTGCATCATTGCGATTTGCATAGCCGTTTAAAGTGGCACACAATGTGTGCATCACACACTTTCACTGACTGACTGGCTGCCTGGCTGTGCCTCGCCGGGGATGCACTTCTTGACACGAAGCGCGGCAAAACGTGTGCGAGACATAGCGGTGGAACCGCCTCGGCGGCGTGCGCCACGCCGCGCCACGCCACGCCCCACCACGCCATGCCACGCCCCGCATCCACGTGGACCCTTTCGCCGGTCTGTGTTTGTGTACAGCGCGGCGTCCGCTGGTGTGCGTCTGTCAGTGTGTGTGTGTGTGTCCACGAGCGTGAGTGTGTCTGTGTGTGCGTGAAGTTTCCGGAGGAAAATGAAATGAGCAACGAAACGACCGAGAGTGGCGTGGCGAGGAGTAGCGGTCCTGCTATACCTTTGCCAACCTTTACCCGTGCTATGCAGCAGCTGCAAAAACGAATGCACACACACACACACCACACACACACACACACACACACACACGCACGCGCGCGCGCGAGCGGTGCAGGTCAAGTTTTTCTCCAGCCAACACTTGTCGGCGTATTTGCTTTTCGGCTTGGCGGCCTTTTGTGCGTCGGCATGGCGGCGCGCCGCGGAGGGCAGCCTATGTGGAAGTCCCACTCGGTGGCTCAGTCGGTTAGCGGGTCGAACTCGGTTGCTCTTCCTCTCCCTGCCGAGGCGGTCTCGTGCATAAAGCTATTGTTGCCAAATTGGTTGCAATATTTTCGTCGGAGTGTTATTTTTTCAGAGCAGTTGTTGGTTTAAAATAAACGTAAGGGCCCGCGCCTAGTTTACACATCGCTGGAGCGTGAGACTCGTCAATCGCGGTTCCCGCGACCTCTCCTGCTTTACGGACGACCCCTTCATTGTCTCTCTCTCCTCACACGTCTTGAGTGTGAGAGGGCCAGCGCGCTGAGAGCCGCGCCGTGAGCTACGGCAGCGTCATAATTTGCATGGAGTGTATGCAAATAATTTTTGGGCCGGCTTGTCGATCGCCGACACTGGAGTCAGTGACTGGAGTCTGGAGTCAGCGACTGGGTGTGAATAAAGATGAACAGTCGTCGTGACGAAGCACAAATAAATCAAGTGCGGCAAAAGTGTTGAACGCTGCGGTCCCGCCCCGCCCCGCCCCGCACCGCACCGGCTCGGTTCGGCTCGGCTCGGCTTGGCTCGGCTTGGCTCGGCTCGGCTCCGCTCCGCTTAGCTCTGCTCTGCTCGGCTCGGCTCGGCTCGGCTCGGCTCGCATTTCTTGGATCATTGGTACCACCTAAGGTTTCAACACGTCATTCGTTTGCCTGTGGAACTTGGTTCGTGATTGTGAAAAAGTGTCGCACGCGCGCTCCAGATCACCTACACACACACGCACACACACACGTACACACACGACGCGCGTACAGCCACTCACTCACTCTTGCATGAATGCATTCACGCGGCGCGCACACACACACACTCATGGGCTCACGCGAGCGTATGAGCGGAACAGTGAGGTGTTGACGTGGGCTCGAAACAGACGAATGGCAGGGAATGCGGCTATGTGGCTACACCAAAATAATAATTCTTAAATTAAAAATTAATTTTTTTTAAAAAATTAAAATAAGTGTTTTGATGTATTTTTTCCTAGTATGAAATCGTTTCCTAATAGATCAAGATTTTTTTCTTAAAAAAAAAAAAAAACAAAGAACGAAAAATTTTAGAAAATCTTTTTTTTAAGGTGCCGAGACGTATCGGTCGAGCAGACAGACAGACAGACAGACAGACAGACAGACAGACACGCTTACCTGGGTGAGGTCCTGGTGGAACCAGCGCTCCCTGCTGCCCTGCTCGGGGTCCTCCTCGGGGCACAGCCGGAAGTTCCAGACGCCGTCCAGGGTGCGGACGTCCCTGGACTCGGACTCCCGGGGGAACAGCATGCCGCCGGGCGACACGGCGCCCTGGACGTCCCGGACGAGGTCCTGCAGGCCCAGCGCCAGCGCGGCCAGCGCGGCCAGCAGCGCGCCGCTCCTGCAGCAGGACGAGGGTCTCCGTGAGCACGAGGACCACGTCAACAGTGTCCGCACGCCAGGGGTGGGGGTCATGACCCAACCCTTCGCTGTTAATGAGAAGCCCGAGGGTGCAATTGGCAATTGGCACGAAGCCCGTCCATGAGGTGCGACAAGGTCCTGTCGTCGCGCTTACGTGCACGGCATGTCGCCGCGCCCGAACACGATCCACATCAAAACAGCGATGTGCGATTTTACGAGACGTCTAGCCTAGCCGGAGTCAAGGCCGCGTGAACGAAGGGGCGGTTGTGGCCGCGCCGCGCAGACCGACTCGGTTATGCTTTGATGAGACGGAGAGAGACAGAGAGAGAGAGCGCGAAAGTCGGCGACAGTGGCGCGCCGCGCTGTAACCGCCGCCGCCCTCGCCCGCGAGGCCCCTGCACGGCGTGTCTCTGTCTCTCTCGCACTCGCGGGGCGCGCCGCAGAGCGAGACGTTCGGGATACAACCGATGATCCCTGAGAAGAAGAGAGCATTGTGTCTTTGCGGTCAGTGGAAGGAAAGAAAGAGACAGCCATTAAACGCCAAACGACTTTGGAAACCGAATCGTCTCAACGACCTGCACGGCTAACGTGGATCCCCTGGCCTGGAGCGCTGGAGCGCGCTGGAGCCTTGAACCCTGTGGGAGTCCTCCAGTCCCTCCAGTCCCTCCAGTCCCTCCAGGCCCCCGGGGTGGCGCGCCTCCAGCCAGACGGGCCCGTGTGCCTCGTGTACCTCGCGAACTGGCGGCAGGTTCAAGTTGGAGTCATGGCCCCGGAGGAAAAGTGGGGGGGGGGGGCTCGATCGATTAATCAGATGGCTCAGGGCGTTTCGGCAAGGCAGCTAATTGTCTAGAGCGGTGAAGCACGTGCTGTACACGAACGTACCCTGCGCGTGGTGCCTGGGGGATGCCAGCATGATGGGCAAGTTTCAGCTTTGCATTTCTGCGGGAGCACGCCACGCAAGTTCAGCGCGAGTTTCACCTCATTGCTTTCCGCAGCCATATCGCTCCCCGTTTCGGCCGTTTCCCCGACTCACGTCGCGATGCATGTCCTCTCCCCGCGGGGACATGCTGGGGACGCGCCGCGAGCAAAAGTGAATGCTAGACACCGCGTATCCGCGGCGTATCGCCTCGCGTGACGGTCGCAGTCGAGCCAATCGGCCGAACCAGCTCCGACTAACTCGATCAGAAAGAGCAGCACTCACGATTGATCTGAACTTCCGGCCCGCTGGCCGCTGTTTGATACGGCAGACCCTCTCTGTCGCACTCCCAGGCCGTCCGCAGGGGTGCGAGAGAGACAGAGCGACAGTCAGGCGCCTGCGTCGCGGCGGGTAGGCAGCACCGCCGAACACGCGTGCGCTGCGAGACGAGGGTTGCCTACCCTGCTGCCTGCAGGCGCTAGGCTCGCTGAACCCTCTTCCTTGAGTTTCACAGCAAGAGGGTATTCCGTGACAAACGCTGAGCTAGACAAATCGGCAAACCGAAAACTGGGCTGCCCTCCCTCCTTTGCGGTGTGTGTTTCCACGCCGCGTCGACGTCGCACCGTGACTGCCTTTGGAAACAAGAGGTAAGGATTTATGCTCCCGCCGGTTTTCACACCCCCATACACGCACACAGACACACACTCGCTCACGGAATAATTTGCACACACACACAACGCAAACGCACTTTGCGCGCGTGCACGCATCCCCGCATCCTGGGCCAAAAAGGCGCCAAGCCCGTCGGCGCGGCGTCGTCGGCGTGCCTCGGCCGCGCGGGCACGACGTCGACGGCGTCCTCGCGTCCGGCCGCGCCGCTCCGCCGCGCCGCCCGCCGCCGCGCGTACGTCGCCGGCCTGACAGGGACATCGTAAAGCCATCGCGCCGATCAGGACGCCGAGGAGGCCAAGGAGGGGCCGGCCAAGGATTGAACGCGGCTGGGCGGGGCGGGGCACGGCGGTGCGCGGCGGGGGAGGACGAGTTGTTTACCTGCGTTGCTCTCGTTGGTTCAACGAACTCCCCGGCGTGTCCGCGACCGTCCCGGTCCGTCCGCATCCTAGCCGTCCTCGCCGTCCTGGCGCTCATTCCCCTGATTCCCCATTCCGGAGGCGTAGGCCGGGATGAGGGTATCGACAAAGGGGTCCGCCCGACGGCACGCCGCCGCCGCGCCGCCACACCGCCAGTGCACACCGGCGTCGCGCATGCTTATGGTGTGCCGATGAAACCTAATGAATGAGTGAGCGTGTGGACAGCCGCGCGCTTGGAACTCAATCACGGGGCGCGCTCGCAGTGTATCGACGCGAAAAAGGAGGAAAAAGGAGGGAGACGGCTCATTGCCTCGAATTTCCCTCCACCCCGCGAGGGAGACAGAGCTAATATCAACCCGCCGGGGGCCGGGCGGGGCCGGGCGGGGCCGGGCGGCACTGATTGACTCACCGAGGGACAGGGACAGGACCCGGGCACACTCACTCTCTCTCCTCTCCCTCACACACGCGTTGCCACACATTTGAGAAGCGGAAAAAAGGCGAGATTATCGAGCTATCGCAACCCCACACTGGCTGCACAGTGGTGGTACGCCTGTCAACCGGTCAACGGTCCCAAAGCAGTGATGGACTAACGGCCTACCCCTGTTCCTGGTTTGATTGGGCCATGGAGCTGCTGGCTTCCGTAATAACGTGCTGCTGATAAGCTGATAGCGCCGCTGGAACGCGGGGGAGGGGGGGGGCCTCCAGCGGTAGCGGCAGTCGCTCCAGTGAGCCGCGGCAAACACGACGCATGCACGCCCGCCATGCAACCATGCACACCAGGCACACACGCGTGCCGATGAGTATCAGTGTATCAACCTCGCGACCCCGTTGCGAGGCCGGGTTGCACTCTCCACGGCCTTTGTCTCTTTCTCCCTCTCTCTTTCTCTCTCTCTCTCCATTGTGGCTCAATTTGCCTCTCTTGGCGTCCGCGCGTGTGTTGTGATGTGTTGTGAGCCGGCTGTCACGCTGCGGCACTGCACTGGGCTCTCTGAGTTCAGAACCCGCTAGGGTTCCTGGGCCTTTGAAAGCTCCCTGCCCTCTCACCCACCACGTCATCACTTTTTGTCCAGGCTTCAAAAATGTCATAAAACCCGATGATCACGCTACCGAAATTTTTCTAAATCCGACAGTGGTTTCATTGTCAAAATTCATCAGCAGCTGTAAAACTTTGGTCATTCGAAACTCACGCAGTGCACAGGGCCCATGGCAAAACTTGGGCGGTGAGAAATCCAGCCTGACTTGTATATTGTTGTCGCGTGCTCCGCGCCTCGGGTCACGGCGAACGCGTGCGGCCGTGCGGCGCGCGGCACCATGGCGGCGCCGTACTGGTCCTGCGGGGTCCAGCCTCCGTCCGAACAGCGGTTTCTGTCTCTCTCGCTCTCACGGGGCGTGCCGCTTGGGGCGAGAGAGACAGTGGTCAGACAGTGTGGTTGCTCAGCGGTGACAAGAATCGGAAAGAAAATGGCGAGTTGGTCCCACTCTTCCAACAAACTCGCGCACTTTTCTAACGGAATTGCCTTTGCGCGTTGCCGATGATGGGGCGACCACCGTGAGCAAGGCGCTGCCCTCGTCTCGTCGGCCTGCGTGTGCAAACTTCGTGCAAACAAGAACGGAGTCCCCATAAAGAGTCTGATCTGCGGCGCTGCGGCGCTGCGGTGCTGCGGCACTGCAAAATTGTCGCCTTGTCGCCGGCGGCGTGAGTCCGCTCGCGACACGCGTTGTGTGACGTGTGATCAAAAGTGAAAACGCGACGAGGCGACGTCGCGACGCTCGTCGGACGTGAAGTATCCGCTTTATAGCGCGTCAGCCTTGGCGACGCGGTCGACAAAAAGACGAAAAAGCGGCGACCCACGACGCCGGCGCCGGGAGTCGAACCGCGACTCTGTGCTCCGCAGAGCAGCGCCTTCCTCGCGCGCGTCGAAAAGAAAGTTGATTCGCTTCTGCATAAGATCAGCAGCGCGAACGCGGGGCAAAAATCGTCTCGGCCGCTAACGCGACCGGTAGCCCGGGTTCGAATCTCTCCGGCGCCGGTTCCTAATTGCTGCATTTTTTTTCGGTTTCTTCTTTTCCAATTGTCATTGTCAATGCCACCGCCGCTCGTCAGCGCACGTGCAGCGTGCAGTAGCGCAGACGCCAGAAGAAAGTCCTCTCCGCACTCACCGCATGTTTGGGACCGCGGGCGTCGCTGCCGGTGGCGGTGCAGGCCGCGGTGCAGGCCGCGATCCACGCCGCAAGCCCTCTCAGGACGGAGGGCGGGCCGCTCAGGTCGCGCTGCTGCCGAAGGTGGCCTCCAGCGTGGAGCCCACTGTGGTGCTCACTGGCGGCAGGCCGCTGTCGTCGTCCTGGGGCACGGCCTTGCTGGACAGCGGGGCTCCAGCGTGCTCCTGGCCGACACTCCACGACACTGCTTGCTTGGCGGCGCGGCCCTGGCGCGGCCCGCGTCCACGCTCGTGGGGGTCTCGACGACGGCGAGCTCCGCGCACCTGGTCCGTCACGTCTAGTACCCCCGGCCGCGCGCCACACACTGCAGTCAGCTGGGCTGAGCCGCATGGAGCGAGGTGGTACGGCCGGCGCGGGCGTGCGCGAAGCTGCGGGGCGGGGCGTGGCGGGGCGGGGCGTGGCGGGCGCGGTGGTGTGGCGGGCGCGGTGGGGTGGCGAGGGTGGGTGCGGTGGGGCTCCAGCTCCACGCGGTCTGGCCCGCCCCGGCCGGCCGCTCGACTCGCCCTTCCCCGCAGGGAAATTTCCCACTGCATGTTTGAAATTCTGGAGAGGTCTTTGGAGTGGGTCCAGCTAGAGGTAACCGCAAATAAAGTAATATTTTTAAAATTTTCGAAATTTAAAACTTGTTGTCAGAGCAAAAAGTAATTGGTGTAGAAAACTCTGCAGTAAATTTTCCGTTTGGTCTCGATTCCGGAGGGTGATCATAAGGCAGCGCCG